CCCCCAGTCCTCAGAGAGATGACTGAGAAATGTTTATATTGAAGTCCCACTTTGGGTCTTGGCTCAGACAAAAAACCCCAACAAAGCCAGCTTTAAAAACCCCACCCATTGTGAAGCAAGAGGCGTTTTCTACAAACCAGAGCAGAAAACAGATCAGTAGGCTTGTTGACAGAACAGTCTGAATAAAGGGCCCTGCAGTAGCAGAACTGTTTGCCAGACCCTGACGCCTTTCCTAGACTTGCATTGTTTAAGTCGTATTCCTGATTGGCAACTTCTGCACTCATTCCCTTCTGATGCTTGTCCTCCTGCAGTTCGGAGTACAAACTTCAGCTGCTCAAAAAGCCTGAGACAATCCTCGCAGCTGACAAACTTCCATCTGCTCGAGTGGGGAATCCAAACCAAAGAAGACGCCCCTTTCCCCTTTTTACCCTACCCCTCCCAAGTTATCTGCCCTGCCACTAGGGTCATAGGGTTGTCAGCTCCAGGCTGGGAAACGCCTGGTGGTTTGGGGGTGGGGCCTGGAGTGGGTGGGGTTTGGGGGCAGGACTTCAGCAGGGAAGAATTCCACACAGAGTCCACCCTCCAAACCAAATCAGCCATTTTCACCCCGGGAACTGAGCTCGATCATCTGGAGATCAACGGTAATAGCGGGAGATATCCAGGTAGGGTTGCCAGCCTCCAGATGGGGCCTGGAGATTTCCTGCTTTTACAACTGATCTCCAGCTGACAGAGATCAGCTCCCCTGGAGAAAATGGCTGCTCTGAATGGCTGCTCTATGTAGGGTTGCCAGGACTGGGTTGGAAAATACCTGGAGACTTTGGGGGTGGATCCAGGAGAGGGTGGGGTTTGGGGAGGGGAAGGGCCTCAGCATGGTACAATGCCATAGAGACCACCCTCCAAAGCAGCCATTTCCTCGAGGAGAAGTGATCTCTGTTGCCTGGAGATCAGTTGTAAAAGCAGGAAATCTCCAGGCCCCATCTGGAGGTTGGCAAGCCTAGAACTCGGGGAGGGAAGCAATAGTAGAGCCGAGAGAAGAGAAATCTCTATCTGCTTCCTGCTATCTTTCTTTCCTTCAACTCCCTCCTGCTTTCTTAACCCTAGCGTCATAGAGTCCAACTTCCAAAGCAGCCATTTCCTCGAGGAGAAGTGATCTCTGTTGCCTGGAGATCAGTTGTAATAGTGGGAGATCTCCAGCCACTACCTGGAGGTTGGCAACCTGACTTAACCCATGACACCCCCACCTATGGACGGACTTCTCTTGCCATTGATGCTTCAAGTTAACTTTTTTGCTTCCCTAACTATAGTATAGTATCAGTTTAGGTAAAGGTAAAGGTTCCTTTGCTCAAAAGCCAGTCGAGTCCGACTCTAGGGTTGCGGTGCTCATCTCCGTTTCAAAGCCGAAGAGCCAGCGCTGTCCGAAGACGTTTCCGTGGTCATGTGGCCGGTGTGACTAAACACCAAGGCGCACGGAACGCTGTTCCCTTTCCACTGAAGTAGTAACCTATTTATCTATTTGCAATTTCTTGCTTTCAAACTGCTAGGTTGGCAGGAGTGGTGGCCCGTACGGTTTACGTTCCCACAATTAGGAAAGATACCTTTACAAATGTTATCTATTTTGACATATTTATTGCTTTACAACTGTTGGCCATATAACCTTAGCTGGTTATTTAGTTCTGAATAACAACACCACATTGCCTCTCTAAGGCTGAATTTTGAACTGAGCAACAACTGAAGGGCCAGCAACAC